TATCACTGAAAAAAATTTTCAAAGTATTTTATTTAAATACATTCGCTTGCGTTTGATGGCTGGGATATTGGGATGATATGACTGATTCTTGAATTTTGCAGATTGAAATGGCTAACGGTTGCCAGAAATTTCGACAACCATCGCGCATCATTCAATCATCAATCTTGTTCTCCCTTATCGAAAGTCAATTTCAAAATTGGAATGACATACTACTATATATATAAATTTTTGGTGACCGCGCATATGTTCCCGTAAATGAAAAGGTGCCAATTAAACGTGACGCATTTCTCCAATTAAAATGGCAATAAATGCGTACAATAGTTAATTAACATAAAATTTTCGCTTTGTTATTGTTTATATAAAATTTTTTTACATAAAATAATTAATATAATAAAAATATAAATTTTGACACAGTATAAATGTAATTGTATATTAAAATATTCGATTTATATAACATTTTATCGGAGATCTCTCAAGAAAATTTTTCTATTTCTTAATTATCAAATTAAAAATTACTTTTTTTAAAATAAATATAATAAATTAAGCTATTTTATATCACACATTACGTAAAATAAAATATTAATAAATTTTATATTTAAATTTATTTTTGTTGTAAAAAATAGTACAAAAATCATTATCGTAGTAAGAGAGAAAAAATTTAATTAAGCGCGTCCAATAAAAAGTGTTATGCGCCGGTAACGTAATGTTGTAACAACGCAAATTCCTAATGGATATTTTATTTAATGTTTACAATGAAAGAACTGTTATAGAATTTCTATACATAAGTACAATCTATACAAGATGATTCAGTTATGTGTCTGTCAATGCATGAGAGGAATAGCTTAAACAGAATTACAAGGGATTTCAATAGTGTTCACTACTCTCGAGTATTATATTCTTTTTCTTCTTCTAATGCGTATCCATTAATGGATGTTAGCGATCATACTTTCCTTTACTTTCCTGTTTCTTGCAGTGTTTATCAGTGATTGCATGTCCCGCAATCCTATCCACTGTCTTATATTCCTCAGCCAAGACATCTTCTTCCCTCCCCATGCCTCTTCTGTCTTCAATCTTTCTCTCAATTATCAGCTGTAAAAATTAATATTTTTCATCTCGCAGTACATGTCCTAAATAAACCGTTTTTCTCTTTTTTATTGTAACAATTCGCGTTTTCCGTTAACACGCTTGAGAACTTCTTCGTTTTTTATTCTTGCCGTTCTTGAGGATTCTGCTATATAACCACATTTCGAAGGCTTCTAACTTATTGGTATCAC